ACACTTTGCGTGACATTGCTTCTTATTCTTCAGTTCTTACAGACAGGCTTAACTTTGTTTCATTATGTGTTTATTTTTCCACTGATGGTTCCTTCAAACTGGTAAACACAAATGGAAGTCCATAGGTATTAGACATACTGATAGACTCTGAAAGTACCACAAGCTAAATGCAAGTGCATGGAAACAGAGGACTCAACTTGAACGTATTAGTAAGTGGACTTGCAAATCAGGAGATTTCTAACAATATATTCTTGCTTCCTGGTTTTCTCTGTGGAACTTGAAGTTGCTGATAGCTACGTGATGTTCAAAATAAAACTGAAACATCACACAGATCATGTGCCCCAACTCTGCAGGATTTGGGGAAATGGGCATTTCTCACCATTCACTTCTCTACTTGGTCAGACTAGGCAGCTTCTCCCCATCCCCTGCTCCCCAATTTTTCCTCCTTTGAGTCTCCTTTTTATCTCACACCTACACCCTGCACTCACATCTTGCTTCCGCCATTTGCATCTTTTTCCCTTACAGCCTCCTGCAGTTCAGTTTTTGCTGAAAAGTATAGACTTTGGACCATAGTATCGCTATGAACACATTTCAAGAGCTGAAAGTAGGAAAAAAAAAATGTGTAATGACAAATTTAGGCCTGTAGACAGAAAGCAAAGGCTATAAAAGTGGTCCAGAGGGTGGTGATCAGTGGCACCAAGTCCTACTAGAGGCCAGTCACTAGTGGTGTACCCCTACAGCCAATACTGGGGCCAATACTCTTTAACACCTTCATTAATGACCCGGATGATGGGGCAGAGTGCACCCTCAGCAAACCTGGAGATGACACAAAACTGGGAGGAGCGGCTGATACACCAGAGGGTCATGCTGCCATCCAGAAGGAACTCCACAGGCTGGAGAAATGGGCCAACAGGAACCCTAAGAAGTTCAACAAGGGGAAATGTAAACTCCTGAATAGGGGGAGGATTAACCCCAGCACCAGTACAGGCTGGGGGCTGACTGGCTAGACATGAGCTCTTCAGGGAAGAATCTGGGGGTCCTGGTGGACAACAAGCTGACCACGAGCCAGCAACACCTCCTGGTGCTGCCTGCACTAACTTCCAGAGCACGCCAGCTGCCCTACCTAGCCCATCTCAGCCACACCCCTTTCATTTTAGCAGACATAAAGCTTCACTCGACCGCCTGCACTCCAGATATCCTAGATATCCTATGCTCAAGCTCTCTGCCCCTCTCCTGCTTCCCATATTCTCCTGGCTGCTCTTGGGTCGCTTTCTGCCACTCTCATTTCTGTTTCCATATAGCTTCCCAGACACTGTTGTAGCCTACTTGTTAGCCTGCTTTCCCTCACAATCATCCTATATGGCATCTCTGCTCTTCCCATGGCCACTAGGGATACAAGCTCTTTCCTGGTCGTCACCTTTAGCCTCACCCTGAACACGAGAGGCCTCATTTTGCCTGCAAATGTTCACAGGACCATGACAGCTTTTGTGTTGAGAGCAGCTTAAAACTTCTGTCCCTAATAGCGGACAGTGAACGTTTGATGCAAAGGAGAAGTTTTATGAGTTTCAAAGCAGAAATTTAAAAAACGCACGGAAAGTCTTATGAAAGTGTACTGGGAGATGTATGATACAAATAACAAGAATGGAAAAACATCTTCAAATAAAAATAAATATGATTGAAAATTAAAGGGAGGGTGGATTAGGCAACACTGACTGAAAAAAATTTCAGTCTTGGTCAGTATTTCTCCCTGTAGCAATACCAGTGGGTTACTAATTTCATCTTGTCCCACTTGGGATGGAAAATGTTAGAACAAAGGAAATGTCAGGATAGAAGAAGTCTCAGCCCTCCAACATGAGATCTAAACATTGTCTCTCATTAGCTCCAGTTTCAAACCCCAACAGTACCTACTATTTTTCTTCTGAGTAATTTGTCCATTTTTTATAATCACTTAGCTCTTTTTTAACCTGCCAATGTTTTTTGCCCACCTTCTTCAACTTCAGTTAAATGTTTATGTTATGACATACTTTTTCATTAATACTGCATCCCATCTGAGAGAAGTTGGTGAACACTTTAGTAGCTACCCTGCAGTTCACTCTCTCCTACCATAGCTTACATTGCCATTCATGACTAAACAAGTTAGTTTAATGCAATCTCAGATCTGTCTACATGTCTAGAAACTGCAGTATAAATTTACCCTTATGCATCGGCATAGATTACATACAACAAATGATAGCCTTCTTTCCTGAAGTAGGCAAATTTGGAATGCAAATAGTAAATCCTGAATGTCAGACAAACAAATGATTGCCTATCAAAACTCCTTTCCAAACTAGTCCTTAGAGTATCGCATACATGTAAAGGGAGAAAATTTGAAAGATCCAGGCAATTGCCACAGGCATCTTTAATTCTAACAATACTTCCCACATGCAGATAGAAGCACAAGTCTGAAAGAGGTAATAATAGCTAAATGGGTATTAGTATCTGCCATTACCTGATCTATCTGCACAATTACAGCAGTTTGTGAATGCTAAATTTGCTTATCAAACCTGGCTTAAGAGCCTAAAACAGCCCCTCTTCAGGAACAACATATCACCTACGTGTTGTTTGGAACTGATGGAACTTTCACTTAGAGAAAAACCACATAGGTATAATGTCTAAAAGACCTGAGATAAGTAATTGCTTCCAGAGAGACTTCATTCCCAAACCAAACCAAAGGGGGAATACAACAGTCAACTCCATTTCTGAAAAACAGGCATTAAAAGGCCAGAGAACTCCATCAAAAATTATATTTTTCCTCTCCTTTAACAGTGCTAGAAACAAAAATGTTAAGACTAAAAACATCTCAAGACACACGACAGCTGTCAAATAACAGTAAACAATCATTGTCCAAAAAGATCAAACAGAAAATCACAGACTGTGTAAGTGATAAAGCAAGGTGTCCTACTGGCATAAACAGAATGTGAAATAAATGAAAATAAAGTAAGTGCAAGCAGAAATCTTTCATATCTATTGCTGATAACAGAAATGTTGTCTAGAAGCCTTTTCAGACATGTTCTCATACTTGTAGCATGGCTCGATTCCTACAGATGGTGATTCTTTAGGAAGCAAACCTCAATCTTCTCAGAAATTGGTTTGAAACAGAAACAGATGCTATGAGGGAAAAGGAGAGTCTCACTGCTGTATTCTCATCTATTCCACAAATTTCATATTGTTTAAGTAATTTATTTAGATTGCAAAACTACTTTGACATCATTGAGGATGGCAGAACTACTTCTGATCACAAGCACTTCATTTAATCATTGCCAAAGAGAAAGAAGTCAATGAAATATGAAAAAAAAAAAAAAAAAAAGAAGAATTAAAAATATCCAGGCTTTATATGTGGACACTCAGGAAAAAAAGCCCATGAAATAATACATGCTACTAGAAAAGGTGCTATTTGTAGAAAGTGTTATGGTCCTGAAGACAGGGAGCATTTCACTGTTGAGATATCTTTACACTACTGTGAGGCTGCTATTTGCAATATACTATGTCAACCTTAAAAAATTAAAAATGCAAACTAATATGTTAAAAATGTATAAAGAGACAGATGCAATTGCAGTTCTAAGGTATCATCCATCCATCCATCCAACGGGCTATGTCATAAAAAGCATAAAACCACTTACCTCTTCTTGCTTAGGAATGCTGAACTTGGCTATCTTTGACTTGGTCCTGGCCGAATCAGGCTTGTTAGAAGGCACTCCCCTGTACGACTTGGTTGTCTCTGCTGCTAACTTCAGCTTTGGAGACTCATCAGGAGCCTGGTCTTGACCATCCATTGGCCTTACATAAGCTGTCGGTTTCTGCTGAACCAGACTGGGCTTCGAAGCAAGAGAGGGCGGGAAGTTTTGGACGCAGTGCCCGCCACCATGCTTTCCTGGCCTCTCTTGCGCTTGAGCTCCTCCTTCCGAGCTACAATTTAGCTTTTCCGGAGGCTGCACTCTGTTGACGTTGTCTCCGAGTGTGGCCCTCAGTGAGCTTTGCTGGGCAGTGTTGGAGGAGGAGGAGGAGGAGGAAGAGGTGGGACTCGATGCATAGCGTTTTAGTTTCTCCAGACTGGATTTTTGGTTGGCCAGTTTGAAGTCACCCTTGTGTGACTCCAGCGACCGGTGCCCGTGCTTGCTCACTCTCTGCTGGCCATCTGAAGTGGCATTGTGCCCAGCCTTCTGCCAACTCATCGCGGCACTTTTGCTCTGCTGGGCAGATAGGGATGCTGGTGTGGAAGAAGTAGTGCTGGAAATGGGAGGAGGAGGCGGTGGTCTTGAGTCTGCAATAAGATGTTCATCGGGCTTGGGGAGAGACGTCTGAGGAACCCCAGGTTTTGGAACCCCAACAAGGTGGCTCTGGTTTGATCGGTCAGTTAACAAGTCTTTCATTTCATCATAGTTGCCCAGCGTATTCTGGATGCGATTCGAGAGCTCATCCCCCTTGTTAGTCTGCAAAACAAAAATCAAGTGTTCTGCAACAGTCAACGTAAGAAAAATAAAATTCCCTGCATGCTTCTGCTGAAATCCTTACTGAAGTAGCACTGCCTTATTCAGCAGCGGCGTTCGGGGATGAAATCGAAAATCCTTATTGTCTCTGAAGACACTTGTCAACATCTTAAATCTACCCTGAACTGGAAAAGCTATAAAGGGCCTTAGAGTATATAAAAAAAGAAATCTATCACTGGTATCATGCTGTAGTTAAAGTATATTACCTGGAAACTAGAAAATTTATTATTGCAACTACACAGAATGGTTTGGATTAAATCTGACCATGATAAAACTTTTCCTATAGCCCAGTGCAAGCTCTCCTTCAGCCATGAATGAAAACACTGCATTCCCAATTTCCTTCTCTGCCTGCCTAAGTTTTCACGTGGCATCTACGAAGCCATACAACATCCAGTCTAAGCACTGGATGAACTCACCAGTTTAAGCCAACAAAATACTGTGAGGTGACTTGAAGACAGCTCGTGGGACAATGGGAAAACTACAGATTATTATGTCCCTTCTTTGAAAATACTCTGGCAGTACTCCAGGGCACTCTCCTCTCTAAAAAAAAAGGTGAACAGAACCCCCCAAACTCTTCACATTGCTCAGTGCTTGCTGTGTGCAGCAGGGGGAATACAGCCACCCTCCCTCCCCTTTAAGATTAATCAGTATCTTTAAAATCATCCATTTACTTCCTGACTGAAAAGGCAGAAGCTCCACAAAGAAACAAAACAAGCAAATAAAACATAGTGGAAAAGATTTAAAACTCTTGCTTTAAAAAGCTACTGTAAGCAAAAGGATGTATCATTAGTATTATGTGGCAGAGATTCTGAACCCTGCCAGGATTCAGGCATGTAATGTCCTTTGCTTTACGTTTTCAGAGGAAGACAGTAATGAGCCAAAGGTATTCTCCTTCCTCTCTTCCAGACTTGGAGTCTGGATGGGAAAACTCCCATTGGCTTCAGAAGGCCAAGCTTTCATCTCAAGACTCTGTGTTTTAGAGGAAAACAGAAAGAAGGAGGAAGAAGGGAGTGAAGGGAGTGGAGAAGACTCCCTTAAAGTTATATTAAAAATACGAAAGATGTAGCAGCAGCATCAACTCTGGAAGACTGGGGGTACTTTTGTTTTTAAGCTTTCAAATAAAATTGAGTCATTCAAACAACAATGTAAGGGAAACTCCCCTCCTTCAGAATCTTTTTTTTCAGGTTTCCTATTTTAAAACCTGAACCCAAGTAAAAACCCTGTAAATGAGCGCAGTGATTGCCGCATGCTAATTTTCAGAGGACTACGGTGGAAGCATTCCTGAGTCAGACAGTAGAAGCAGTCCTGTCTTGCTTGAAACTTGTCCTCTCAAATTTCCAGGACGTTACCTTGTAACTATGTAAAATACATTACAGCTAGCTTTCTGATATGCATTTGTTACAATGCTAACAGAGTTGAATATATATCAATAATATATATTGAAGGGAAGTGGCAAGGGAAAAACTCAGAAGTGTTGCATCTGCAACATTGCTTTGCAAACTTGGGATAAGATGGCTCAGCCACTAGGGCCTGATCATCTCTCTGCATATGCAGCTGTTGCTGTCACCAGGACAATAACCTGCTATGAAATGAAATACGAAGCATTAATTCACAGACAGCAAGTGGCTTAAAAAAAGGGTGTTCCTTCACTTCACAGGAATCACATTGATGTCCGAAAGAAGAGGAAACTATTAATGAGGCTTCAAAAATGGGAAGCATCAAATACATCTGAAAAGAAAGAAAGTTGGAGATATACTCTTGTATCTCCTGGGGTCAGTGTAAAGGCTTCTACACTTGGGCATCTCCTTGACCAGCAGAATTATTTTCCAGAAGGCACAGAAAATTTTCCTTAACCCAGTGGATCTCTTCTATGCTTCTGGTGGATCCTCCACCTTGTGTAGATACCTTGTAGAGAGGTATTTTTCCAGCTTCCCTCTATGGAGGGAGATCTGCCCTTGGGCCTGCACCCAGTCTGATTCAGTCAGCATGTGTATGAGGTTTCTTTCCCTGCCAGGAGCATGGCAACAAGGACCACCAAATGGAATGGGGACCCTGACACCCACAAGTCTCCTACAGCACAGACAGCTTTGTGGGGCAGCTCTCCGCTTGGCTGCCTCTAGGTCCATGAACATAAGGGAATTTATGTGCAAGTTTTGTCCCTAGGAAATCTAACTTCCCTAACAGAAGGTCCATTGTTTCTGATGGTTGCCATTTGGATGGGAAGGAAGTAAAAGTCTAATTGCAGATTATGTGTAGACTATCACCAGCCCAGAGAAGTCAGCAGATTGTCTTCTATATGGATGTGATGTGAAGGTCACACAGAGACACCTTGTATTAAGAGATCCCAGATAACCACAAGAATAATTGCAGCAAACTAATCTAATGCCAATACCACGGCACTTGCTGACAACTGTTTGGTGTTGTTTATTCCTTCTGGATACACTGGGGACAATTTGAGGTGAGAAGATTTTGTGTTGAGCTGATCTCATCCAGAAGAGTTCACCTACATCCTCTTGGGAACAAGATGGGATCTGAGGTAACTTGTTATGAGCTTTAGATGTAGCAGCTTGTCCTATTATTTGCTCTGAAATACTGCTGGCCTTATTAATCATTCACATAGGGAAAACATGATCACAAAATGAGTAAGTAGGAAAAGCATTCTGTGCAAACACTTCTAACTTACAGTGCTCTGACATTCTTCTGCAATGCAAGATGAATCCATGCATTTGAAGACTGCCAGATCCAACACTTCTAAAAATAAACCTGATGGTTGCATGGAAGGCCATCAGCATTTTTTTCTTCATTAAAAATACTGATATGGTTAATGAGGCAAGGTATTCTGCCCAGGAAATATCCAGAATGAATTTCCTACTTTTTCACCCCCTGTAAAAGACATTTTAAGTAAAAGACACTGGATTTCCTGTAATCCTTCATAAAGGGTTGCTATGGATACTTTGAACAGGATAAGGGGCAACCCAAAGAGTCAGGATTTTTCAGAAAATCTGATGTTACAGGAGTAGCGATACATGACAAGGTGAGAGAGGACATAAGATTTAACAGATTTCCAGTCTGCCTTTGATTTTCAGATATGGTCTTCTGAATGGCAAATCCTTTGGCTTTAGCTCATGTTTCTCAAGCTGTGCAGAGGAATACTGAATTTAATCAGAGCTTGCAGTGAATGAATGCTGTAACTTCATTCCCCTCTGGAAACACCTAAAACTTGAACATGATCTTGAAAGACAGTAAGAGTGGGTTTCAGTTTTGCTTTCGTAGAAAGGTTTCCTCTTTTGCAGTTAGCCTCTCTCCATGATAAGATCAAAATGCCCAAGCCACAGCTCTGCACCCCCACACTGGAGGTTCACAAATGCTTGGATGAGTTCAGATAGCTCAGTGGTCCATTGTCAGTGTAGACATGACATTCAGAGTACACCACTGCTGAAGTTTTGATGTCCAATACTGTCAGAATGACTGGTCATCCCAAACAACTGTGACTGTCACACCAACAGAGCTGTGAGTGAGTTACACTGCGGTCCTGGGCTTTGCCTTTCTCCGTGTTGCCTTGACAAAGCCAGCTGTAGGATGTATTTCTGCAGCACTTTCTTTATACACTTGTCCAAAACAGTGTTTAAAGATAAGAAGCATGGATGGAGCCATTATTCTGATCTCTCCATACAACGCCCACTCAGTATCCCCTCTGCTTCTACAGACGGCAATGATTTTTCATCCACTCTTACTAAAGCTGATGGAGTTATACTGTGGTTGCATAGAGGTGCCTTCAGACATCATAACTCAGAAACTACTGGTGTGTCCATGATACACGAAGTCTGTGCCATGACAGTCAGTACATTGGCACACAGGTAATAATCAAAGTGCACAAAATAGTCCTACTATACCACTTTTATAAGTGATTTGAGCTTCAGTATTACAAACTTGAGGTACAACGGATAAAATGATAACAGGGACCCAGCAAAAGGACAGGCCCTTTCTGTGAGGGGTCTATTTGATTAGACCTACCAAATGGAAAATTATTAAGTCCCTATTGCAGCAAAGCCCTCACGAAATGCCAATACACAGCTGACTTAAGATTTTCAGGCTTTTTTCCATGGATTAGCCCTTGACAGGTCTCACAGTAGACTTTTTCAAGTAAAGCCATGAGGAGTTCAAGACATTTGCCATGGTTTCTAAATGCCTCTGTAATGAATCTGAAATTCGAGCAGTTGGAGGTCAGCTTCAAGGCAGACAGAATCATCTTCCATAAAGGGACATGGTTTGAAAGTGGTAGATCTTTCTTTTTTATTAGGGACTAGAAACAAACAACAATCTGGAAGAACAGCAAGCTAAAAAGCTGACCCTGGAGCACGGGCAGAAACATGGAAGCATGGAAGTCAGGTGCAGAAGCCAAGTGCCAGGTCCCAAATAGGACTCCTGGAAAGACGCACTAAAGCACCTAAAGCATCAAGGACAAGGGATGCTGCATGGAGGGAAAGGCTTCACAATGTGGTGGTTGTAACAGTAACTCGGACATTACTGGAAGGGCACAGTAGATGATACATGCTGATGCTTTGATGCACACAGGCAAAGTCAATAGGTTTGCTGGGGGAGAGGAGCAGCTCCCGTGGGATATTGTGCTCTGATCCTGTTTGCAAGAGCTTGATTTGCAGGCTTCTGCAAAGTGCAGATGATCCTGCTTGACACTTCTAACAGGGAGTGGGGAGAGATGGTTGCGTCTCATCACGCTACTGTTACCACCAGGAATAAAACAGGGAGTTGAGACTCGTAAGTTACTTCCACCTTTGGTGAGGGCAAAACATGTCTAGCAGGCAAATTTTGTTGGTAATGTTCATAGAAAAAAAAAAAAGGCAAGCAAACACCACAATATTTCACTGCATTAACCTTGGCCTTCACACACAATTTTAACACAATTGTTCTCTTCTAAGTGTTGCAAAAACAGGGCACCGCCACTTTCACCTCCTAGTTTTAATTCCATCTCAAATATTTTTAGGCTATTTCTAGTTTATTTCATTCTCATGAGCTGCTGAACATTATAAGAAGCTTTTATATATATATATATAAAAATCCAATTCTCAGTGAACCATAAATGTTCTCTGAGAATTTTGTGAGGCTAGCACTTGTGGGAGGGTGCTGAAACCTGGACAATATCTTCTGCAGGCTGCATTTTTCTACTATGGAATAAATAAATAAACAAAGAGTCACCCAGCTGGGAAGCATCTACCTTGTACGGTTCACTGAAGAGGGAGTAACTTGTGTTAAATGCACCATCCTCCTGCTGGGCCTCCTGATTTCTCTTTTCCCATTCTTTCCTTCGCAGCACGTTTCTATCTGGCTCGTAGACACTGCAGCAAAAAAAGAGGAGTAGCTTTTTAAGAGTTAAAAATTAGCGGGCAACATATAAACCAGCATGAATTTAAAAGTGAAGAACTCTGGTTTGCAGACAGATGGCAAAAATAAGCAAGAACATGAATCAGATGAATGCCAGTCCAAGCAGGCTGGGGAGGCTCAGGTCTCTGAGAATGCTGGTGCTTTCTTCACACAGAGAATAGATAATTAAATTCTTACAGAAGAATAAAAAAGAAATCACAGGGCAGGATCTAGCCTGTGCAGAACTTCTCTGCTTGAAATGTGACAAAGGAAATATCTAAGCAACTTTGACAAAGACTGAAAGTACTCTTAAGGCAGATGGTAATTACAGCTATGAGTAAATAGAAATTATGAACATATTTCCACTTATGACATATCCTCTGAGTGTTGTATGAGAATGCTCCTTTTTTTCACATGGATGTGTTTCTGTAGTGATTCTTTCATTAACTAGCTCCCTAAAGAGCTGTTAAAACTACATGCTGTAGTGGTTTCCACAGTTAGGCTGCTTCTTCTGATCTCTGTTAATCAGCCAAGTCGTGAAACTACTACTGAAACAATTCCTCTTTCTGATGGATTTGACACTATCACAACTTCAGAGCATGAATAAATGAATACTGGCACGATAGTGTATGTATGGCTGGTAGACTGTAGCTGGAGAGAGAATAAAATCACTGCATTACAGAACAGTATTAATTTTTAGAAATGAACTAGTCTGGCTCCAATATAGACATCCAGCATAAAAATTAGCTTTTTTTTTTTCTCCATAATTCTAGTTTAATACATGACAACATAAACAAGAGAATCCTTTCCCTGAGTTTCCACAGAACAACACAGGTTTGCACGTTTCAGTCTGTTATGTTTTATTCTCCTCACAAAGGAAACCAATGTGTCTAATAAGGTTTACATGTTATTTCAACATGTGACGAGTATGCTGATTGCCTATTCTGCTCAGTTTAGATAATGCCTTTCTTCTGGCACTGTAAATCTGTAAAGTAGAAATATATATTAATGTCGTGTAAGTGCACCATGTGTTAATAAGAAAAAGGTTGTCTTGCTAACCAGCTTCCCAGTTAGCAAAACATATGTTGCATCGGCTACCCACGTGACGTTACCTAGTATGCCTCAGGCAAGGCAGTCAAAAGGCCAACAGCTATCTGATTCTAATTCAAGACTTGAGGGAGCTGAAAATATATAGGATATGTTAGACGCTATTAGTATTTAAAAACACCTTAGCAGTCACCAAATGAACACAAAATCTTATGTTTACTTGTCAATGCTGCTAACTCAAACTGGACTACAGAGCAGCCTTCTGGTGCATCTGAGGGCATCTGAGGGCAGATGCCAAATGCCAAACAGGGCTCTCAAACACAGGGGTTTATTGTGAAGTGCAGGGTTTCAGTACAGCAGGTTGGAGGCAGCTTCTAACCACCAGTTTGTTTATTTCATTTACAGGTCTTGACTTCTTGGGGTTTTATCCTATATTTTTCATACGTAATGCATGTTATTCACGTCAATATCCTCTTTGAAAAGCAGTGTAAGGAGAAGGCAATCATAGGGGTGGAGTTTTGGCCATGGAAATGCTTTCCTCCAGGAAGAAGGGGACAGCAAAGGCCTCCCCACGGGGTCCCTGTAAGCGGAGATCATCTGCATATGCTGCCGAGGCCAGAGACAAAGCAGTTGTCATTTACTAGTATGCGAGCAACAGTCCTCTGTTACTACATCATGCCACCTGAGCGTACTCCCATCAGTTAAGTCAGGGTAAAAGACTCTCTGACAACAACCTCTCTGTCTAAAGTAGACTTTCTGCCATGCTGAACAGCTGTTGTTCAGCTGGGTTTTTCTGGAGTTGCAGGGATCAGGTTATAACTTCATCCTCAGCCACGTTTCCCCATCCAGAACCTCTTGACTCTTTGAGATACTTTGCATTTGGACTCTAGCCTGCAGTCAAATAGAGACGGGCAGCTCCCCTGACATTAATTATAATACTGATCTCTACCCAGTTTCTAGGAAGCAAACAAGTGCAACATTCTTCACCAGATCTCATACAAATTTAAAAACACAGTGGTGTGATACTCCTAAAGTAGAAGGACATTTTTATCCCTCTATTTGATGGAGACATACAAGTCATCCGATCTCTGAACGCCCTTCCCAAATGAGAAGTTCACTGTTGGCAATGCAATGGACAACCTGCAATCACTCAGAACAATTATGCAAATGGCAAAACCATGTGACAATGCCTACTATGCCATCTATAAGCAGTAAGTTAGGAAGAGCTACAAGTTGAGAGTTGTTTTCCTTTGGTAATAGCAGATGGCAAAATCTCTTAGCATTTGTGAGGCTGCTTCGTATTTGCATGAACATTGCAACAATCACATTTCCTTGAACTTATGTCACCAAATGTATTTATTTATTTTGGTTCAAGGAGAATATTGCCAACTGCTATAATTGTCTTTATTGCAAACACTTCAGTTAATGGCAAATGATTCTCTTTAATTGTTTTCTTCCTTCTTTTTTTTTTTTTTAAATTTGTAATTTAAAACAATCCCAAATGTTTTTAATCATTTACAGTGTGTGTCTTTTCCATAGTTAAGCCATGAAGAACAAATTCATGAAAATTTCATTATTTTTTCCTCATTGGGGCAAGTGTGCATATGTGGGCGATGTATGCATACATATGCGTTATATGCACATATAGCTACAGTTTCGCTAGTATGGGCCAAAATGTTGAAACAGTTTTTCAAGACTTGGAAACTGAAGAACATGCAACCATTCATCTCTCAAGAGTCAGTGTCATTTATATTTGTTTCATACAGGTCAGACTCCAAAAGGATGAATTAAAGTAGTTTTTAAATGGTATATTGTTACCTTTAAAATGCTGCATCTGTTTCAAATTCATGCTTAAAGGAGATGAACTGAAGCATGAGTAAGAAGTCAAACACTTGGAAAAGTTATATATGAATAAATGTTGTACTATAAAAATTACACTATCTCGAATATAGCACATTGCTTTAAAACCACACTTTGATTTATCTCAGCCCTAAGATCTGCCAAGAGACACAATGGGCTTACCAATGAATTATTTCTAAATACCAGTGTCGCAGGCTCAAAGCACTTCCAGCACACCGTCACCACCACACGGTCACAGCAGCCCTACCTTCTCTACTGCTTCTACAATACTTTGAATAATTTAACTCTCAGGTATTTTACAGATCAGAATATCAATGGATTGCCAAACTTCTCAGAGTAGTTATGTTTAATAAATTTTGATCTGTTGTGATGCCTTTTGGAAGATTACCTTGTGTGGCGGGTTGATCCTGGCTGGATGCCAGGTGCCCACCAAGCTGCTCCAGCACTGCCCTCCTCAGCTGGACAGGGGAGAGAAAATGTAACACAAGGCCCGTAGGTTGAGATAAGGACAGGGAGAGATCACTCACCGATTACCACTACAGGCAAAACAGACTCAACTGGGGGAAATTAGTTTAATTTATTATCAAGCAAATCAGAGTAGGATAATGAGAAA